CTTTTTTTCTTCTTTCTTTCTTTTTTCCTTCTTTCTTTCTTTCTTTCTTTCTTTCTTTCTTTCTTTCTTTCTTTCTTTCTTTCTTTCTTCTTTCTTTCTTCTTTCTCTTTCTTTCTTTTTTTCATTTTCTTTTTTTCTCTTTCTTTCTCTTTTTTTCTTTCTTTTTTTTTTTTTTTTTTGTGGCAGAGATGGGGTCTCACTATGTTGCCCAGGCTGTTTTTGAACTCCTGGCATCAAACAATCCTCTCATACTTGTCTCCAAAGCATGGGAATTACAGGTGTGAACCACCATGACTGTCCTGAAAAATGTGATATTTAGCTTTCTATGCCTGGCTTGTTTTACTGAAAATATTGACTTCCAGTTCCATCCATGTTGCTGCAAAAGACATTATTTTCTACGGTTTTATAACTGAATAGTATTCTATTGTGTATATATACCACATTTTCTTTATTCATTGACCTGTTGTTTGACAGGTAAGGTGATTCCATATCTTTGTAACTGTGAATAATGCTGTGGTAAATATATGCGTGCAGCTGTCGTTTTGATCTATTCCTTTGATTAGATATCCAGTGATGAAATTGCAGGACTGAATGCTAGATTTGTTTTGAGTTCTTTCAGAAATCTCCATAATGCTTGCCATAAAAGTTGTGCTAATTTATATTCCCAACAACAATGTAAAAGAGTTCTTTTTTCTCCACATTCTCACTAACATTTGTTATGTTTTTATCTTTAATAATACTTATTGAGGAGTAAGATATCTCATTGACATCTCATTCTGCAGTAAGATATCTCACACTGACTGGAATAAGATATCTCATTATAATTTTAATGAGCATTTCTCTGATGATTCATAGGGTGGAGCATTTTTTTTTTTTTTTTTTTTTTTTTTTTTTTTTGAGACGGAGTCTCTCTGTGTCTCCCAGGCTGGAGTGCAGTGGCGTGATCTCGGCTCACTGCAAACTCCGCCTCCCGGGTTCACGCCATTCTCCTGCCTCAGCCTCCCAAGTAGCTGGGACTACAGGCGCCCGCCGCCACGCATTTTTTTTCATATATCTTTTGGCGATTTGTATGTGTTCTTTTAAAAAATGTCTCCTCTCCAGGCACGGGAGCTCACACCTGTAATCCCAGAAGTTTGGGGGGCAGAGGCCAGTGGATCACTTGAGGGAAGGAGGTCGAGACCAGCCTGGCCAACAAGGCAAAACCTTGTCTTTACAGAAAATACAAAAAATTAGCCAGGTGCAATGGCACCTGCCTGTGGTGCAAGTTACTCAGGAGGCTGAGGCTTAGGAATTGCTTGAACCCAGTAGGCAGAGGTTGCAGTGAGCCAAGATCATGCCAATGCACTGCAGCATGGGTAATGAAGCAAGACCTGTCTCAAAAAAATAAATAATTCTGCCAGGTCTGGTGGCTCATGCCTGTAATCCCAGCATGTTGGGACGCCCAGGTGGGCAGATCACCTAAGGGCGGGAGTTTGAGACCAGCCTCACCAACATGGAGAAAACCCGTCTGTACAAAAAATACAAAATTAGCCAGGTGTGGTGGTGCATGACTGTAATCCCAGCTACTATGGAGGCTGAGGCAGGAGATTCGCTTGAACCCGGGAGGCAAAGGCTACGGTGAGCCGAGATCTCGCCAACTGCACTCCAGCATGAGCAACAACAGCAAAACTCCATCTCAATAATAATAATAATAATAATAAATAATAAAAAATGTCTCTTTATGTTGTTTTCCCACTTTTTAATGGGATCCTTTGGAATTTTCTGTGTAGCTGAGTTCTTGTATACTCAGAATATTAGTCCTTTGTCAAATGAAGAGTTTACAGATAATTTATTCCATTCTGCAGGTGATCTGCTCACTTTGTCGAGAGGATTATTTCTTTGGCTGTGCAGCAGCTTTTTCGTTTAAACAAAGCTTTTGAATTTAATTAATGAAATTTTTCAGTTTTGTTTAAATTTGCATGGGTCTATTTTTTTATTTATTATCTGTACTTTTGAAGTCTTAGTCATGAACTCTTTACTAGACAATGATCAGAAGACTTTTCTCTAGATTTCTTCTCATATTGTTACCATTTCATTACATATATTTAAGTCTATAATTCATCTTAAATTGACTTTTGTAAGTATGGTGAGAAATAGGAGTCCAGCCTTATTCTTCTGCATATAACAATTCAATTGTCCCAACACCAATTATTAAAAAGGGTGTGTTTCCCCAATGTATTTTCTTGTCAGATTTGTCAAAGATCAGTTGGCTATAAATGTCTGGTTTACTTCCTGGGTTTTCTAGTATGTTACATCAATCTGTGTGTCTATTTTTAAACTAATACCATGCTGTACTGGTGACTATGGCTTTGTATTATAATTTGAAGTCAGAAAATTTGATGCCCCAAGATTTGTTAATTTGCTTCAGCTGGAAAGACTGAGTTGACAATTGCAGAGATGGCAGTTGCCCCTCCCTGCAGGTGCTCCATCTCAGAAAAACATCCGGGTTCCCACGACCACATAACCCTGGCTGCAGTTACTGAAATTCCCAAAGGAAGGTCCCACCCAGTGAGGAAAGATGAATCAAGGTCAAATTTAAAGAAACAGTCTGGCCACAATCAGGCACAGCAGCTGTGCTGCCTTGTAAGGGACCAGACCACCTAGATTCCTTGGAGCCTGCAGGCTAGAGTGTCTGAGTCCATAGAAACACAAGGATGGTGGCCGCTCTCACCTCCCCAGAACACTGTGGTCTCAGGTAGTGTCCATCCTATTGCCTCTGATTGGCTGGTATTCCAAGCCAGTGGGTCTTAACATGACAAGTACCTTGGAAGTGGGGCCCACAGAATTGGCTCCCTGGATTCAGGGGCCTTCCTGAGGGAAAGTAGAGATGGAACTCCTGACTTGCCCAGCTTTTCAAGGCCAGAGTATATATTCTTCCTGGGTCTCTGTGTGTGTCTGAGTGGCTGCTCCGCCAACACCTAACACGGCTCTGTCTATCAAACAGAAGGCCCTTATAGCATGAGCTAATGGGAGGATCTTTTGAACCCTGGGTTGCAAAGATCCATGGGAGAAGCATGGTTTCTGGGAGGGGTCACACACTCAGTAACTGCTTCCCTTGGCTGTGTGTGCAGGTTCCTTTGACTCTGTGCCAAAGAGTTCTCTAGTCTTTTACAATGATCTGTGTGTCTGTTTTTATACCAGTAACATGCCATATTGGTGACTGGCTTTGTGATATAATTTGAAGTCAGAAAATGTGATGCTGGCAGCTTTGTTCATTTGCTTCCGCTGGAAAGATTGAGTTGACAACTGTACAGATGGCAGTTGACCCTTCCCCCAGGGCCTCCATCCCAGAAAAAGATCAGGCTTCCCACCAACCATATAACCCTGGCTGGAGTTCCTGAAATTTCCATAGGAAGGACCTATCCATTGAAAAGGGATGAATCAACGTCAAACTGAAAGAAACAGTCTGGCCACTACCAGGCACAGCAGCAGTGCTGCCTTGTGGGGGAATCCTTTCTGCTGCAGACCAACTGGACTCCCTGGAGCCCACAAACTAGAGTGTCTGAGTCCAGGGAAACACAGAGATGGTGGCCGCCCCAACCCCCCAGATCTCGGTAGTCTCGGGTAGCCTCCAACCTATTGCCACTTGTTGGCTAGTATTCCAAGCTAGTGGGTCTTAACCTGAGAGGGGTCTTGGAAGTGGGGACAGTAGAATGAGGCTACCTGGCTCCCTGTAATATGGCTCCGATGAGTGCAGGAACACCAGGGCTGTTGTTTCACACATTGAATTGAAGAAAATTACACAAATACACGTGCAGTGGTTTTAATGAGCACAGAGTTTAACAGGCAAGAAAGAAGGAAGATGCTGTCCTCATACAGAGACAAAGGGAGTGGGGGCTCTGAAGCCTAAAGAGGAAACCCGGAGTGCTGGGGATACCAGCCAGTTATATTAAGAGGCTGCGGGAGGTGGTGTTTGATTTGCACAGGGCTCAGGGGATTGGTTTGACCAGGCATGTCATTTAAGTAAGCCCGCCTAAAAACTGGCGCTCCCACCCCAGTCTTTGAATATGCACATGCTTGGGGAAATGATGTCCTACACACACGCGGATATGTGGCGCAGCCATGTTGCCAGGTACAGGTTGGGAGAAGGGCCAGAAGAGGGCGGGAATCGCCATGTTTAGGTGGACCCAGTTTCTAATGGCCGGCATTTGCAGATCAAAGATTCCCAGAGGGCTCTAAGAGCCCGGGCTTTCCTGCTAGACAAGAATCCTTTCTGGAGCTGCTTCAAAAAGAAAGGAAACTTCCCAAGGATATCTTTTTCTCTGTATCTGCCTAAAATAGTTTCTTAACAACTCCTATAACACGTGAATTCAGCCCCCTTCCTGGCGGAATGTACAGACAGAACTCCCACCTTTCCCGGCTTCCCAATGCCAGAGTATGTAAAACTCCTGGGTCTCTGTGTGTGTCTGAGTGGCTGCTCTGAAAACACTCCACACAGCCCTGTGTACTGGGCCCAAGGCCCTTATGATTTGAGCTCATGAGGGGATCTCCTGATCCACGGGTTGCAAAGATTCATGGGAGAAGCATAGTTTCCAGAGCGGGGTTACATAGTGATTCAATGCTTCTCTTGGCTAACGGAGAATGTTCCTTTGGCTGTGTGCCAATACCAGGTGGCTCATCACTCACCTCCCTTTTCTTTGTTCTGGTGGGACAAGTTGTTTGCCTAGTGAGCCCCAATGTGAGAACCTGGATATTTCTGTTCACACACTTATTTCAAAATTCACAGCGCTTTTCATTCACAGGAAGGCAGCTGCTTCTAATCGGCCATCTTGGCAGGTGCCCTCCACATCACCTTCTATAAAATGACGCCTGCTGTCCAGGGATAATGCCATTATATAACTTTGCCTGAAACCAACAGAACTCTCATTATACTTATGATGGGCTCATTTACTTCACTTCCAATGAATGTGGCCATGGAAATGCAAGTGGATGAAGTGGTCCATTCTCTTAAGGATGAGATAGAAACATGGTGTACTGACCAATTAATGACGTATGTCTGAAAACTAGCAAATGAGAACCTCAATCACCGTGTTTACATTTCTAATCAAGAAGATGCTCATCTATGTACTCAACAACCCAGGTTTCCTTGCATCTGAGCTGCTGAAGCGCTTCAAAAACAACATCTCATGTTTCCTAAAGAAGATGATGCCTGGACAAGCAGCACAAGTCGTTCAGGTTTATTTTCGGTTCATAAATTCAGCACGACATTTACACAATTGTCAGGAAACCTTATCAGCTAACGAGTCCTGCATGTTTCCTTTCATTTCAGGAGGAAGAGGGTAATTCAGTTGAGTTTCCTGAGCTACCCAGCTGCCGTGATTCAATAACCACCAGGAAATTTTGATGATGGTGCTCTCCTGAGCTCCTCCCTGTCCCAGGGAAGACAAAATCATTGAAACTGTGCAAATAAAGTGTTGCTTCGCTGGAATGAGGTCTCATGGCTGTTTATGCGGTGACTGGCTGCTCAGGACAGGGTAAGTCTCTGGGCTGTGCACTGAGGAGGGGAAACTCTCAATCTGGAGAAAACCCATTGCAGGGGACACCTCCATGGGATCTGAGGGACTGAGGATGAGGAGCTGGACTGGGTGTAGGGAAGGAGGAGGTTTCAGAGGGCAAAAATCTGGAAGTAAATCCTGGACCTGTTTGAAAATTTTCTCCCTCAGAAGAAGATTCAGGGAGGAATAAGGACAAACTGTGGGTGCCTTAAGGGGCATTTACTAATTTGAGATAACTCTAATGGGAAGCATAGTGACATTGGCCTCCTTGAGGTTTGAGGCCCCAGAGTAAATGAGGCCCAGATCCAGTCCATGGGGGTTGAGACCTTCAAGGGACACATTTTGATTGGGACAGAGTAAAGCGTAGCTGCAGAGGAAGCCCTGGCAGTGTGAAAGCGACCTTGGAGGGAGCCGGTGCACTCTGAATGCTTGGGAGCCCCCATCCCCTGTCCCTGCCTCTTTTTCTGGATTGTTTGGGCTCCGTGGTCTCTGCCATCTTCTGAGCTCTCCACGCTGCCCTCTTCAGGTTTCTCTTCTGGGCTCCAAGTACTCCAAAATCTTTCGGATCTGTATCTTTACTCCTGTTTTTAGCATGTGTGGGGCCCCAGGTTCCAGAAAATTTCTGGCCTGAAATCCACCTCCCCAGTCGCGGCGGATTCCACTTTAGCGAATCCGCACTGGGCAAGATCTTTCAAGCCCTTGGGGAAACTGACAACAACTCTATGTGATTTGCCTTAAATAAAAAAAAAAGAAAAGAAAGAAAGAAAAGAGAAAGGAAGGAAGGAAGGAAGGAAGGCAGGCAGGCAGGCAGGCAAGCAAGAAGAAAACTAGTAAAAACGCTTTTCCTTAACTTCATCCTACTGCTTTTTAATTTGTTGTTATTTCTATTTATATCTTATTGTATTGTCTATTTCTTCAAGAGTTGCAGCAGTTGGTATTTTTTTTCTTGGTTCATCATTTAGTCTTTTTACTTAGAATAACAGTAGTTCACACACTACAGTTAAAGCGTTATACTCTTCTGCATTTTTCTGTGTACTTATGATTTCCAGTGAGATTTGTACCTTCAAATGATTATTGATTGCTCACTGATGTTTTTATTTTCCTGATTAAAGTGTTCCCTTTAGCATTTCTTATAGGACATGTCTGGCATTGATGAATTCCCTCAGTTTTTGTTTTGTCTGTAAAAGTATTTATTTCTCCTTTATATCAGAAGGATGTTTTTGCCAGATATTCTATTGTAGGGTAAAAGTTATTTTCCCTGAGCACTTTCAATATGTCAGGCCTGTCTCTCCTGTCCTGTAAGTTTCCACCAAAAAGACTGCTGCCAGATGTACTGAAGCTCCACTGTATGTTATTTGTGTCTTTTATTTTGCTGCTTTTAGTATCCTTTTCTTATCCTTGACTTTTGGGAGTTTGATTATTAAATGCTTAGAGGTCATCTTTTTTGGGTTAAATCTGCTTGGTGTTCTATAACCTTCTTGTACTTGGTTATTGATATCTTTCTCTTGTCTTGGGGGGTTCTTTGTTATTATCTTCTTAAATAAACTTTCTGCCTCCATCGCCATCTCTACCTCTTCATTAAGATGAATAAATTTTAGGTTGACCCTTTTGAGGCTATTTTCTAGACTCTATGGGCATGCTTCATTGTTATTTGTTCTTTTTTCTTCTGTCTCCCTTTACTGTGTTTTTCAATTAGCCTGTTTTTTATTCAGGTTGATCCATTCTGCCTTTGAAGGACCCTGCTGCATTCTTTACTAGGCCTATTGCATTTTTCATCTCCAGGATTTCCGCTTGATTCTTTTTAATGATTTCAATCTGTGTGTTAAATTTATCTGATAGAATTCTGAATTCCTTCTCTGCATTCTCCTGAATTTCTCTGAGTTTCCTCAAAATGGTTCTTTTGAATTCTCTGTCTGAAAGGTCACATACCTCTGTTTTTTCAGGATTGACCCCCAGTCCCTTATTTAGTTCATTTGGTGAGTTCCTGTTTTCCTGGATGGATTTGATACTAGTAGATGTTCCCCGGTGTCCAGGCACTGGAGGGTTACGTATTATTGTAGTCTTTCCTGTCTAGGCTTATGTGCAGCCATCTTTCTTGGAATGATCTTTCACATATTTGAAATGACTTGGGTGTTACTGTAAAGGAAAACTGAGGCTGGAGTCGAACCAGGAACGAAGACACAAGGCAAATGGCAGTGAGAACAGCTTTTATTAGGGCTTGCAGGCGAGGTTCCTCGGTCCAAAAGTGTAGCCTGAGGAAGTTGCACTGAGGAAGGAGGGTAGGGGCTTCTTATAGCCTGAGAGGTAGGGAAGCTGGTTGTGCAAACAGGGCCTGGGAGGTCTTGAAACTACTAGGGCAGGAGTTGAGTAAGGGTCATGAGGAAGGGGTCTTTGGAAACTGTTAACCAAAACTGCTGTTTACAAACTTGTGGAATGCAGGTGAGCTGCAGGTCATGGGGGAGTGTGGTTGCCCAGCTGGAACCTCTGACCTATGTAAGTCTGAAGGCGTGTTCAAAGAGGAAAGGAAGTCTCAAACAAAGGGCCTGCTTGAACAAAGGGCCTGCTACGCCAACTGGCGCCACCATGTCGGGTCTAGATCCCTGCCTAACATTCCAACCTCTTTCTAATAAGAAAAAAGGGGCGATGTGTTCATCTGGCTGCTTCCTGCTATTATGGGTCGTCGTGGGGTTTTTCGGAGGTCGGAACTTGGGTATAGGGGTGGAGCAGCATCTGATTGACAGTGATCCGGGAGACTTCTTTTATGCAGTTCTGGATGAAGCGGAGGATACAGGGAGCTATGAGCAGTAAGAAGCCAATGATTAGTAAGGGGCTTAGGAAGGGTAGGACCAGCCGGCCATGGACGACAGCCACTACCTGAGTGGGGACTCTAATCCTGAGGTTTTTTTGTGGAGTCCTTCTCGGACTTTTTCTAGAGTGAAGAGGTTGGTTTCTACCAGTCCTGACTCATTGATGTAGTAGCAGCATTCTTCATTGAGGAACATACAGGTCCCGCCTTTGTCAGCCGTAAGGAGATCGAGTGCTCTGTGATTCTGGGCTGCCACCTGGGCCACTGAGGTGATCTGTCGTTGGAGGGAAGCCAGGGATTCTGCCGAAGCTTCGATTGCTACCTGTAATCGGGCTGAAAGGTCTTGAGAGGATCGGACAGAATGAGTTAAGGCTCCAGTTCCAAGGCCAGAGGCCACGAGGGATTCAGCTAAAGAGACTCCAATCATTAGCAGAAGGAATACTGCTCTTGCCTGGCGGGGGCAGGTAACAGGCAGAAGAGAGGATAGCTCAGCTTCACTGTACAGGGTGAGGCTGGGGACTAGGGAGATGGGAACACATAAGGTAGTGTTGGAAGCCTTGAGAGTTTTTGACAGGGTGGAGTTGCACCAAAAATACCCGCCTGGGGGTGCAGTGAGATTTGGAGGCGCCCATCCTGTCCAATTGCACCAGGAAGCATTAGGGGTGGAGTAGCAAAAGGGGAGTTGTTGTCTAAGCGGGTCTTGGAACAAAGAAACTTCCCCCAGGGTTTGGCCGGGATGGGGAAAGGAGGGGGTTAGGTTAGAGGAGTTAAAAGGGCTAGGTAAAGGTACCACAACCAGTGGGGGCTTATTTAATGCTGCACACAAGAAACAACGGGAGATGTTGTGCACTCTGACCATATGTACTACCTGGGCCCCTTCTCTGACTAAGGTTAGCCAAGAAAAAGGGTTACCACTGCCCTGAGGCTTGTTGTCTGAGTTGGCTGTGTTGTCCGGGTTGGCTAGAACTGAGATGACTTTTTCTTGTTTGATGTTGGAGGCCAGGCTGATGAAGCTGCTTGTGACCCTGACATAGGCTCTATAAATCTTGAGTCAGGCTACAGGATAAGATTCGTAGCTGTGCTGGTAAAGGCGAGCCTCTATACCTGATGCCCACCGAGGGTCCCACGGGTCAGGAATGGTAAAGAAGAATGTAGGCACTTCTCCTCGTCCGTATGATCTGACTAACTGAACTGTTGATGCCGGTTGCTGCCACTTGGTGTATGACATGTCAAGGTAAGTAAAATGCATGTTACAACAATGATATGGACACCCGCCGTTGGTTTCTACCCAGTAATTGAGACAGTTATATTCTACCTGATCATAGAGAAAGCATATGACTGGGTTCCACCAGTCGGGGCAACTGTTAAAGGCGGAGAAGTTAAAGGTAACCTGACTCTGGCACTCTTAGGACCGGTAGTCAACTGTGGTTAAGATGTGGGAACTTATGTGATTGTTTTGGGTCCAGGTCTGTGACAGATAGAATCTCCAGCAGAATGGGTTGACGGGGGAAGTTTGGGTAGGAGTCTTACCTAGGCTCAGGAGTACTGGATAGCCGAGGAAGGTTAGGCAGAGGGTCGTTACCAGCACGCGTAAGTCGTAGTTTAGTAGGGGCAACAGCCTGAGCTGTCCACCTGGAATCATGCTGGGTAGGTGCTTTTTTCAGCTGGGACAGATGATACCAGGAGGGAAGGCCGAGGAGCTTGGCAGCAGTGGACGTGGTAAGGATCATGGTATACGGTCCTTCCTACCGGGGAGATAAGGCTCGGGGCTGCAGCTGCTTGACCAGTACCAGGTCTCCTGGTGCTACAATGGCGGGATTTTTAGGGTTTGGGGAAGCGGGTGTGGGGAGACACGGGTCCGCATGTTTTCTTAGAAGCTCGCCTAGGAGGGTTAAGTAAGGGAGGTAGAAGCCTAAGGGAGGGGAGAGGGCTGGCAGCTCCTGGAAGAGGAACAGGCGTCCGTACAGTAGCTCAAAAGGGCTGAGCCCTGTGGGGGCCCAAGGAGCTGTCCTGAGAGGAGTAAGAGCCAAGGGAAGGAGAGTTATCCACAAGAGGCAGGTTTCTAGAGTGAGCTTGGTTAGATGAAGTTTAAGGAGGCCGTTTGCGCGTTCTACCTTACCAGACGACTGGAGATGGTAGGGAATGTGGAGCTTCTGGGTAATCTGAAGTGCGG